GATCCCCCGTGCGGCGCTGCGCCGGGCCCCACATGTCATGTCATGCCCCCTACTACAAATTTGATGCTAACAATATATTAAAAAATTATTATTATTATTTTAAAATTATTTAATTGATTTTTTTTATTATATTTCAAAAATAAATTAATAAAATATTAAATTATAAAAAAATTAACTTATAATATAATAAAACTTGAAATATAAAAAAAAATATTATATTAATTTAAAAATAATTTTTTATTAATATATCTAATATTAATTTTATTTAAATTTATTATTAAAGTTTGAGATTGTTTATTAGTAAATAACTAAATAATATAAACAATATAGTGGTTTTATTATTAATTATTCAAGCATTATATATAAATTTATAAACTTATTAACATGTATTTTGTTACTAATATAAAATTTAGCTCTAATATAATAATCTTATTGATCATTGTTTTTATATAGACTAATTAGAAGTAAAATAATAATAATGCATATTTTAAATTATTATTGTATATATATATATTTATATTTCATTGGTCAAGAGCATTAGATGCAAGGTTTTATTAATAATTATAAATTTAAATAACTATTTAATAAATTATAATAAATTTTATATTTGTTTAAAAAACTTTTTAACCAAATTATATTATTTATATTAATTTACTTTAAGTTTAATAATGTTTATATCGAATAAACGTTTACTTGATATTATTAAAAATTAATTAATTTTAACATTATAAAAAAATGAATAAATTTAAATAAAATTTAATTTTTTAATTGATAAATACGCACTTAAACATTATTCTAAATAATTTAATTTAATTTAATTTTTTTTGATTTGATTATAAATTTGTTTATTAAATATAAATGTAATATTATAAATACATGATAAAAAAATTATTTTATAGTTTACAAACTGTTTAATTACATCCAAATAGAAACAATTGCCTCTATCTGCTATATAGTTTATCTTTTTATTCTCTACCAATTAATTGTTCTTAAATGAAAATTAACAGCAATATCATGGTTGTTTTAAACTATGCGGTCATTAGGTAAGATATTGAAGAAAAATCAAAAATCGATATATCTTGGTTAAGTTTTCTAAATATTTAGAAATTATTCATTTTTTCAACAAATATATATAAAGAACCTAATATTTACAACAGACCTCGATGAAGCAAGGTTAAATGCAAAACATCTTTGATTATTTTTTTGTTTTCTTTGAAGAAGCTTTCCGTGAAGTCTTGGATTGTGATTTTTCTTGTTGCTTTGAATGTACTACATTATTCATAATATTAACTGTATCTTGAATTTGTTGATCTTCTATTACTGAGCCATCTGAAGGGGATGTAGAAGTTCCGACAGAAGATTGTATTTTTTGCAATTGTTCAGGAAGAGGAGATAATGGATGTTGAGATTGTTCTTGTTGACTTGTTACAGTTTGTGGTGTTGTATCAGTTTGTTGTTGTTGTCTAGTAAGTTCTTGATGACGACGAATTTGTTCGAATTGGAGTTGTTCTACTTGAAACTAAAACAGCATCCGTGTCATTACCAAGTTTGATAAATAACGAACAATGTTTAAGGGGTCACCTGTTGATAGTAAGCAGGATCTGTTGAATATTGAATTCCAGGTTGATAATAAGCCATGCCATTTTGGTCAGTAAACATCTGATCTGCTGACTGATTTGATGGTAATATATATATATATTTATTTATTTAATGTAAATGAAGGTTATAATTCGAGATTTTTAATTAATATAATGAACCGAGTTTACCGAAAAGAATAAAAGCATATTTCGTACTTACAGATTCTTCCTTCGGTCTTCTATTAACAGGTTTAGGTACCTCCTCCCTTGGAACAATATCAATCAAAAAATCGAATTGATCCGATCTACTAACAGCCGAAGCAACATCACTACGTTGTAATGTACGGCGTTTATTTTCTTCCGCATGAATCCATGCTCGCATTGTGATTTCTGATATAAAAATTTCACACGCTTTAGAGAACAAAATTGGTGCCTGGATTTAATAAAGTAAATTATGGTCATCTTTCTGAGAATGCAATTAATTAAAAAAATTTATTTGAAAAATCAGACTAACCTCGGCGCTAATCATCTTATGTAAAAGTAAACAAACAGATTTCAGAATTTTTTTAAAAAAAAAGCAAGTAAAACTTTAAACTTTAGAACATATATTCATAAAACAAGTTTTAATGCAAATAAGATTTAATATGCACCTTGACATCCTGATCACTCTTCATAACTTTTTTGATTCTGGCTAGAGGTAAGGGGTGATTCTTAAAATCACTTTCAAAACGTTCAGCTACTACTTGTTGCTCATTCCAGAACTGAATTTAACAAAAAAAAAATGCGGGGAAACAATAAAATTAATGTGTCAAATGAATATTATTTACATTTTGGAAGTATAATGATTAATATAAACAAACCTTGGCCATAAAGGCTTGATTTTGTTGTTGTTGTAGAATTTGTTGTTGTGTTTGAATATGTGGGGCTGCTACAGTGGGAGCGGAAGTTGGTGCAGCATTTGTGGCAGCAAGAACATTTTGATCAACAACAGTTTGTGCTGTTTGTTCCGCCATGGATTTTGAATTTTTCACTTTTGGATTTATAGTAGACAAGGGAAAATCGAGGAAAGACATTAATAGCTTCGTTTCGTTAAAGTTTGTGTTTGGAGGACATATGCGGTAATCGAAGTCAGGTGACTATTGATCAATTAAATTCAAATCTTTTTATTTTTGTATATTAAAAATTATTTTAAAAAATTATTTAAAGTTTATATTATAAATATAAAAAAAATTATTACTTTCGATACATCCAATTTATATTTTTACTTGTAATTCAATAAATATTTAATAAAATAAATAAAAATATAAAAAATATTCAATCGAAAAAAGTCAAATTCTTTGAATACTTGAAGTTATATCCTCAGGAAATATATTTATAGCATAGTTAAAAAAAAAGCTATTCATCACTATAACATTTTCTTCTTGCAAATATTGTCTTTCAAATTCTTACAATTTAACAGGTATGTTGTGAACATATATAAAAATTCTACTTTCTCTTATTAAAAGATATTTACAAATATTTATATATTAATAAAATTTAAAAAATTGAAAATAAATTTATTTAAATATAATATATCCTGCTGCTGCTAAAGTATCTTCTTAATTCAGTTTTTTTATTTCAGATAATCAAGCAACTTGTTTTTGTAAAATAAACATATTAGAAATTGTGTTTCTCATAAGTTCAAGTATATTAGGATCAATTTGGTTTCAGTATATAGCAAGTATTATTTTGTTTGAAATCTTATCATAAATTATTATTTATTTATTTTTTTTATTATTCTTACAAGACAAGAGATAGCATCGATTGCAGGTATATAGAGAGGCAAGAGGGTTTTTTTCTTATAAATTTATTTTATTTTTATTTTTTTTTGTTGTAATCAGAAACAAAATTCAAAAATATTGGTTTTATTTTATATACTTTATCAAGATATTTTTGAGTTAAAAAATTTTCTCTAACCTATAATATAATGTAATTAAATTAATACAGGTTTTAAAAAACATGTAAAATTTAGACTTACAAAATTTTTGACAATCTGAATATAGACTGGCTATGATTTTTCTCAAGGTTAAGGAGTGGTTTTGAAAAAAAAGCAATTTTATTATTTCCTATAATCATACTTAGAAAGTTATATAATTTATTAACAAGTATTCTGCATTAAGACATAGTTTAGCTCTAATATATAGCCTTAGGATTTAATATATTTTGTATTATTTTTTTTGAAAATTAATAAATACAGCAAATATAGTTTGATTAGAAAAAAAAAATAGATTTACAAAATTTTTATGGATTTTTTTTTTATTTTTTTTTATATCAGCAATGTTAACTTTCAAAGTATTGGCAGTATTTTTTATATTATCTTCACAATAATTAAAGAACCTTAAGAAATCTCTTTACCAGTTATTCTAATTTTTATTTTATCATTAATAAATTTAAAAATATATATAAAAACTTTTAATATATTTATATTTTGGTAAGAATTGATAATAAAATTAGAAATGGCCAGATGAATATTTAACAAATTGTGAATAGGGTCATTTAAAAAAGAAAAATATTTTATTTAATTATCAATTTTTTGTGATACAAGAAAATGCAAGATAGTGATAAAGATTTCTAACAATAAATAAAAAAATAATTTAATATGTATATATATAATCTTGCTTATAAAATATAAATAATTGATAGCTCTGTATATATTAATATTTGTTTATCAACTATATTGCTTGTAACAGCTAGACTTTTATAGTCGAAGTATAAAAAACATATATGTAAACATGACAATTGATAAAAATTTTGATTACTAGTTCAAAGTTTTTTACTAGAGATAATATTAAAATATTAATAGCTATAAATAGCATTTTAACAGTACAGTTTGCTTATACTAGTCTAGGGTTTCCAACTGAAGGCACATGATATACATTGCTGCAATATATTTGGCTGCAAGTTGACACAACATAGATTACTAATCCAGGGTTTTTCATTAGAAGCAATATTGATATTATTCAATATTCACAAGCAAGTTCTTGTAACAAAAATACCTCACTTATACTAGTCCAAGGTTTTTCATTAGAGGAAATAGCAATTTTGGATATAGAATACAGGTAGCTAGTTAATTTTGTTTCCTCTTTTTACTTACCCTTTGTAGCAAGAGATCAGTTATTTCTGACAACTTTGCAACTTTTGAAAATTTGTTTCATGTTTATATATATATATTTTTTGCAAGTATTAATATTTGTACAATAGACATCAACTATGTTTTTACATATAATTAATGCTTACTTGCAAGTAAATATGTTAAAAATTCAAACTAGATAAAAAATAAATATATAAAACTAATAAAATTAATAAAATCGATAAATATTACAGGTGTTAATATAGCTAAATATATTATTTATATGTTGCTTATTTTTGTATTTTGTCAGTATAAGATGGCAAGCAAGAAAAAAAAATAGTCAATAGCTAAATAAAAAACAAATAAAGTCAAAAATTAATAAAATTAACAAAATTAACAAATTTTGCAAGTGCCAATATAGCTAAGTATACTAGTTACATGTTATTTACTTTTGGATTTTGTCAATAATAAAATGGAAAATAGCAAGCAGTAAAAAAAACTGTTAACTAAATAAAAAGCAGATATATAAAATCGATAAAAATTAATAAAATTAATAAAATCAATAAATATTATAAACATAAATATAGCTAGGCATATCGGTTATATGTTGCTTATATTTGTATTTTGTCAAAAGCAAAGTGGCAAGCAATAAAAAAATTTTTAATATATAGCTTGGTCATATCCAATTATATTTCTCAATTTTTGTTCAATTGTATGTTTAAATTGTATCTATATATATATTATAGATCTACAATACAATCAGTTTTTAACAATTATAATAATTATAAGACTAAAGCTACAAGTTAACAATTATATATCTAACAATTACAGCTTCAATATAGGTAATTCTAACAATAATAGCTTTATTTTTATAACTTTTTTTTTTTTAATGTTAAGGTGAGACATGTCTCATTATCTTTATTAATACGTAATTATTATTATTACATGGTTAA